CCTGTCATGTCTTTATTGACTTAAATATTACCATATTTTGTTTGGAATATGTAATTAACTTGTTGTGTATTTATCCCTGTAATATAATGAACCTCCCCATTCTTTCAAAAAGTAGCTAAGCAGTATTAATGACAGGGAATTATTGAGTAGAAGATATAATTAAATATGATTAGGACTACGATTTTACAGATTTTACTACTATAGTTTTAGGCTAAAATAAAAACAATGGAGCTGATTTAAAGGAAAATAGTAAGTATGTAAGTAATAGTACAGGTAATAGCAGTATTTAAAAGATTTTGGCTGTGGTATGCAAATGCTGAAAGTTAGCAACACTGAGCCAAAGAATGTTGTTTTAGTTCTGTTGCAGAGTATGTTAAAAGCTTATTTTCTCAGTTATGTGTAACTGTAATAACAACATTCATTATTATCAGCATTAATGACTACAGTCATTGGATGTGAATTGTATCCTCAGATTCTTTTCTTTTAGAAAGAAGCTTACAGTAGAAGAATATTATGTTTAATATTAAAGTGCCTATATTTTATATTTTCCTTAAAGAATCTGAATTTTGAAAAATTATTTGAAATTATATAAAAAGTGTCTAAAAGGGATGTGAGGTGGTTTGTCATTGTTACCTCTTTATGATCTATGGTAATAGAGGAAAATGAGGGTAGGTAATGCAGGCAGCGTTTCATATTTTTACTGTTTAAGCAGGTTCTACAACGAGGTAAATAAAGACACCCTGCAGATCCGATCTAGCGACCTAGCCAGGACAGAGGTGTCAGTCAACAGCAGCCCTGCGGAGGACGTGCGTGTGGAGCTGCGGTGGTGTAGCACGCGGTTCTCAAGAGAGCCCTTCCCGTCCTCCGTGCGCGGCGCTTCTGTTACTCGCTTGAAAGGAAGTTTCAGATTGAAAAGGCGCTGGTTGTTTCAGAAGTTCCTGATGTTCTCGCCAGGTGATAGGTGCTCTTTAGCCTAGATGTGTTTTGTTGATTGCTGTTGACCGCAGTAGCTTTCCTGGCACACAGCGAAATAGCCAGGCAGCGAGAACTAGGTGTGAGTTCACCAAAGATGTCGCCCCTGGGGTGTCAGAATGCTCGCTCGCCTTCGGTGCCCACGTCCCCACCCATGAGTCATGGGAGAAGTGGAGCTGACACAGGCCCGTGCCATCCTCGTGAGATTGCTCAGAGGACTGGGAGGAAAACTGGAGCCTTTGGTCCCACAGCAGAGCAGCAATGACAGGTTTTCTGAATGCGCAGAGTGGCCTCAGTTTTGCTTCAGAAGATAATAGCTGAGACCTGTTTAAGGGTATAGTAAAATGTCCCTCCCTCCGGTCTGTTGACAATTGGGGGGTAAAATTAAAAATTCTGATTCTTGCGCCCTGGCTGGGTGGCCTAGTTGGTTGGAGCGTCACGTGTACACCAGAAGGTTTGGGTCTGACCCCTGGTCAGGGCACCTACCTAGGTTCGATCCCCATTTGGAGTGTGTACGGGAGGCAACCAGTTGATACTTCTTTCTTACACTGCTGTTTCTCTCACGCTCGTTTCCTCTCTTTAAAAATCAGTGAACATATCCTCAGGTAAGGATTAAAAAAAAAATCCTGATTCTGCAAATCAAACTAGTTAATATTTGGAGAGAAATTAGCCTTATTTTTAGATTTTCAAAACTTTGGCAAAATGTTTTAACACTTCAAGAGTATTTTTTGGTATGAAAATGAAATAGGTTCTAGTGGATAAGTTCTACTTATTTTTTTTTTTAAGATTTATTTATTTATTTTTAGAGAGGGAAGAGAGGGGGAGAGAGAGAGAGAGAAACATCAATGTGCAGTTGCTGGGTGCCATGGCCTGCAACCCAGGCATGTGCCCTGGCTGGGAATTGAACCTGCGATGCTTTGGTTCGCAGCCTGTGCTCACTCCACTGAGCTACGCCAGCCAGGGCAAGTTCTACTTATTTTAATTATATTCTTTAAGTTTTCTTATGGGTATAAACCTTAATTGAATTGTTTAACACTGATATTTTAAAATTATTGACAGAACTTAAGTGAAAATTTTTACTTTATAAAAACTTTTACTTGAGTCTTTTGACCAATATTAAACTCAAATTTTATGAATGAGAGGATTTCTATTAGCATATATCTCTAGAGGTAGGATATTATACTTTGCCCTATATTTTTGGTGACAGAACCAGGTTTCTTTGTCGAGAACCACTGCTTTCAGAGGAAGCTATCTTGAGTTTAATTTGGCTAATGGCAGAAGTCCCTCTACTGGCCGCCTTTGTTGTAGCAGAGGTTATTCAATTCTTTTCCGAGATCTTACAACTAAGCAAAAGTTTGTTTATAATTACTTTATGATCAAGGTGAGTTTTGAGGGAAATTCTAATATAGGTGTATGGGCTGTTTCCTAATTGAGTAACTTCATAAACATAGTTATCAAGAATAAAAATTTTAAGAAGTTACACTTAAAGGTAAAGATTTGAGAATACCTCACATAAATAGGTGGAATGAAATAGTTGTATTTTTCTTTACTTTTTTTTCCTGCCTTTGATCTTACCTGAATTTTCCAAAGTTTAAAGCCTTTGAAGAACATGATACTGTTTTATTTCGTGCTGATGTGTTTGGATGACAGGCATGAACGTGCATGGACAGGGATGGCTGGGCAGGCACGGGAGGGGGTGGTGCGCCCTCGTAGCTTAGCGAGTTCACGAGTCGTGTGGGCAGCACTCATTTATGTTGAGGCAAAGGTAGCGTTTCTGTACTTTTTGAAGCTTATTTAAGTTTGAGCTAATGTAAATGGTTCTGTGAACCAGGGCAGGTTTCTGTTAGGCTGTATAATTAGTGAATAATGAATATTTAAGTGCCCAGTTTTTGAATATTTTGTGCTTAGGGCTTAGGAAGAAATATGACATGGTCCTTGCCTTCACTGTATTGAAACACAAAACAAGAACAATACAAGATGATGGAGTTTTAAAAATTTGTCCTAGAAACACAACAAAATTACCACCTTAACCATTTTAAACTGTAGAGTTTAGTAGCATTGAATTACTTTGTTGTGCAAGGTGGTATATATTTAAATTAAAAATAATTTGTTAAGGAGTGAGGATAAATGTTGTGGGGAAGTAGCATTCAAAATGTACTACATGAAACCACTCCAAACCCAATTTTAGAATGTTTGAAGAAACATTCTATTTATCTGTTAAAATACAAACATATTTATTTAACTTGGGTTTGGAAACTACTACTGTTAGGATGTGGAGGAGGAGAAGGGTGTTAATTATTTAAGGCTGGAATAATCCGGAAGGTTCCATGGAAAAAGAGGAGGACTTAGGCTGGACCTTGAAGACTGGTGAAGAGTTGGGTGGGTTGTGGGCAGGGAAAAGGAAAGCATTCCCCTTGAGGGAACCAGTCAGAGCTGAGAGATGGGTATGAGCGCTGGCTGTTTCTAGATCCATGAGAATACCTGTGCTATTAGAATGTATTCTTTATGTTGGGGGTAAATGGTTTGAGAGTAATTATAGTGTAACATTTCCAAAAATGTATTCTGTTTCCCATGAATGGGGGAGGGAAGGTAAATTCATATTTTTTCCTGCAAGGCTTCTGTAACGTTTGAATACTACCATGCATTCAAAATCTTTTGGAGGTTATATCCAACATATTTTTTAAAATTTGACCAGAGGAAGTTTTCTTCATCTGGACACCAGTCTGAAAAATGTATATGCCACTTAGAAGTTGTGTAACTTGGTCAAGAAACGGTAGCAGGCCCTCCACCCCAGCACTTGATGATGATTGGGTTATAATCACAATTACTGTATGTACAAAGTGTTTGTAAATTCAGCAGATACTGAGTATGTATTGTGATATGCTAGTGATGAGACTTGCAGGAGTGTATAAGGGGAGGATTATAGAACCATAGAATATATTGCATGCGTGTAAAGCCCTTCCGTGCTTGCTGGTCTTAAGTGTGGCCTGCGCACATTGGCATCTCCTAGCCTGCAGTCTTGTTAGAATGCAGGACGGTAGACTCCGTAAGAACCTGCATTTCATCAGGTGCTTCCTGAGCACACGGAAATTGCTATGTGCTCTTTCACGTCATCTCCAGTACAACCTCATTCTGTCCTTGGACGTGGTTCGTCGCTGAGAATTTGATGCCTTTGATTTCAGACACCAGGTTTACCCTCTGGAAACTTCTGCCCTTTGGTTACAGTTTTGCACAGAATGTGCTTAATATCTCAGATGAGAGCCGTTTGTGTGCAAAAGATAAGCTCATGTGTGTACAGGAGGCTGTCAGAAGATAGGTCGCCCAGAATCGCTTGAGAACGACATGACGGGAGATGTGAGTGGAGGCTCGCTGTCGCTGCTTAGGTGCGGAGCATGAGAGAGCCGTATGCCTCGAGTTCCATTGTCACTGCTGCTGCTGTTTGTGTACCCTCCCCCGAGCAATTTAAGTCACGTTTTTCTTAATTTTAATTCTTCATGTTGGACTGTTACTAATTTTGCTGAGCCCAGAGTAGCCTTAGTGTTTGCATGGAAGCAGCTCCCAGACCCCTTCCATCCACCACCTACTCACTTGGTGGGACAGTTGATTACGTTACAGATTGAATTACGTGGTAATGTTCGCCTGCTATTTTGCCTGCCTTTTAAAGAAGTTTCTCCAAAAATATTATCTTTCTGTTCTTTTACTTTGTAGATCTAAATATGTGAAATTATTAAATTATTAAGTCCCCTTTAAGAAATAAGTACTTTTAGTTACATAAATATAAATGCTCACTGTGGATTAAAACAATGTAGGAAGAAATGGAAATCTACCTAATTACATTCCTTTAAGGTTATCTTCTGTTTAGTTTATGTTTCCTCCTAATTTTTTTAATGTACTAAAGCTATATATCACATGTAAAATTCAACAACAAGAAGGGGATTTACGCACTGTTCTGAGAATTGATTTTTTACTCAGAAAATTTAAGCTAAATGTATAGACCTTAATATAATTAATTTGTTTTTTGACATTAGGGAAGAAACCCCTTTTTCTTGGAACCAGCAATAATTATTACAATCACTGATGGGAGCAAGCTGACTACTACCAGTGGGGTCCAGGACGAGGTAAGTTATGTTTATGTCGGCACAGATTATGATCATGAAGCTGAGAAGTCTTTGTTTTTTGTATGCGCTGCAGGATACTGAATCCCTTCAGTAGGTGCTCTTTGGCTCCTTGATGCAGGCTAGAGCCACCTGTCTCCTGGTGCTCACGTGCCTCTCTGGTGTCTGTGGCAGTGGTCTCTGAGTTTTCTTGAATAGCAGTCCCTTCTGTGAAAAAATGTTGAGCCTACCGCAGCCCAATTATATGTGTAATTCTGAGTTTATGTGAGGGTGACGGTATCAGCTCACACAGTACATTTAGTAAAATTAATCTTTATTTTCAGGTTAAAAAAATGAGGACAGAATTCTAATAATTTCTTCCCATATGTGAGTGGATTGCCACGTGCACTCCACTGTGGGCCCTACTGAACTAGAGTATCGCAAAGCCGCGAGGAGGTTAAGATTAGGAAAAGGGAAGGTCTTGGACATTTTTATTCCAAGTCAAATATTCTATAATAGTTATCAAGCTTATCTATTTTCTATTAGCAAACATTATGCAGAATTGGTTTTTTGTGGTGTGATAGCGTGAATACAATAGAATTATATTAACTTTAAGCTGTTTTTATTGTATTTGAACTGCTCATGAACACTATATTTATTTTTTAAAGTATGTTATAGAAGGGAGATGGTTTAGACTACTCTCTTTGCTGTTTGTATTTGCTTTAGAATCTGAACTTTAATTCTCATTATATTTAGAAAGGGTTTGACTAAGTAGGGAAAGTGTAGTTTTTAAGTTCAGTAATTTTTAGCAATGCTTGTCATGGGTGACACTGTGGAGTGCAGACTGGACTTGGAATAAGAATGTGTGGATGTTAGCCGACCTTCAGCTGCCTCCTGCCCGTGTGCACGTTGTGCCACGTCTGAGTCTCTGTCTCCCGTCCACGAAGTAAAGACGGTGGGTAGTTCGTGCCTTCCCGCGGAGGACTGTTGGAGGACTGAATGAAATGAGGTATGTGAGAGTGTGTGGCAGGCTGGAAAGAGAAGAACGTGTTTGCCACGAAGCATCGGAGCCAGTGAAGAATTGCGATTGCCTGACCGTGACCGGGGTGCAGAGAGCCAGAATGGTTTTGTGTGAGCAGTTGAAGTTAAAGGGAATTTAGGCTGTAATTCATGGAGTTAGAGCTGAAAACTTTAGGTAGATGAAAGTGCCATCGATTTCTGAATATTGACTTTGTACTCTGCCACTTTGCCAAATCACTTAATTAGGTCAGGTAGTTTTTTGGTGAGACTGTAGGATTTTCTGTGTACACTATCATGTTGTCTGCAAATAATGACAGTTTTATTTCTTCCTTTCTAGTTTGGATGCCTCATATTTCTTGTACTTGTCTGATCGCTGTGGCTAGGACCTCAGTACTGTGTTGAACAGCAGTGGTGCAAGTGTGACCCTTGTCTTGTTCCTGATCTTAGTGGGAAAGCTTTTAGTTCTTGCCCATGAGTATGATGTTGGCAGTAGGTTTCTCATACGTGGCCATTATGTTGAGGTATGCTCCCTCTGCTCCCACTTTGCTGAGTGTTTGTATGATAAATGGGTGCTTATTTGTTTTAAGGCAAGGTTTTATTTAGGTTATGTAGTTGGAACACAGGTCTGTGAGTTTATGGTTTCCGAGTTTAGGAAAGTCTTGGATCCTATGCACGTGTGGTTCTCCGTGTCCCAATAAGACTCCTCTTCGGGGGCAGAGAGACAACGTACCCCTGATGTGCATATTGTTGCGGCTTAATTTTTGCTAAAATGTTGTGAAGCATTGGTTTGTTCTAGCCGAAATAATTAAACTACGTTACTCATTTTATTTTATTTTTTTATTTTTATTTTTTAAAGATTTTTAACTTATTTTTAGAGAATGGAAGGGGGAGAGAAAGAAAGGGAGAGAAACACCAACATGTGGTTGCCTCTCATACACCTCGCACTGGGAACCTGGCCTGCAACCCAGGCTTGTGCCCCGACTGGGAATCGAACCAGCGAGCCTTTGGTTTGCAGGCTGGTGCTCAGTCCCCTGAGCCATACCAGCCAGGGCCTATGTCACTCATTTTAAAGAGCCTTTCAATTCATAAAAAGCATAAAGATGCTTCTTGTTTCCCTCCTTTGTGTCCGTGTTGGTGTGCACGGGCGTGCACACACACGTGTGCTGCATGTGGTCTGTGTTGATTCCTTCTCGGGAGTAGCAGACAGAGTTTTGCCTTCATGTCTGTTTTTCTTCAGATCTCTTAACCTTTGCCTTCGGCAGAACTTGACTCTTGTTCAGGTTTACTGAAGGAGTGAAAATGTCAGTAGTTTTCATATTAGGTATGTGTGTATATAATTTTTGATGCCTGTGTCTGCCATTGATGTGACTTGTTACTATTTGTGCAGTTGTGCCTTCCACCCACGTGATACATTTTGCCCCAGAGTCACGTGATCTCGCGTGGCGTATTATATCTGTTCTGTGAGTGCTGTTTTTCAGGAGTAAGTGTTCCTGTGCCTTAAAATCATCCTTATGGCATAAGAGGGAACTTTGAGCTCATCTAGTCATGCTATTTATTTTAGAAATGAGGACATTGAGATCCAGGGAGGCAAAGTGATGTGCTAAAGGTTATAACATTTGCTGTTGCCAGAATGTGGATTAGAATTTATCTAAATTCCAAAGACATTCCAGTCCCTTCAGACCAGTGCTTTTTTTCCTGATGTATCTTCTGCCTCTCTGATTCTGTTTTTGTGTGCTCTTAAAATTTACCTTCTATTTACCTGATTTCCTTTTCATTTACTTCAGCTCTTGTGCACTTGTGACGGACGAAGTGATACGTTCCTGTTCACTCAGAGTACCTTAAATGACTGATCACCAGGGCAGTGAGGATAACCACGATAAATAGGGTGTATTTCCAGTACTCACGTTCACAGTCTCATGGGGGAGATGGCCTATTAAATGGCTTTACGAATGCTGAAATAGGGATACACACTGAGTGTATCAGAGCACTAGCGGGGGAGGGTAGGGTTAATATCACCTATCTTGTGTGTGTGTCCAATTCTGTGGAATGTGAATTTTTATAGTCATTTAATTTTGATTAAGTTCAAGGGTCTTGTGGATGATCTGGTAGAGGATGTGGCTTATAGTTTACACGTGTGAAATTTATAAAGAAGCCTGGTATGAAGTTGTTTTAAGCCTAGAAAATAGTTAATGGAAAAACTTGGTGCCATATTGTCTCTTGACCTGGTTAAGATTATACTGGCTGGAATAACCCAATTTCTTATAACTTGTTTGTTAAAATGATGCAGGGATACCGTCTCCTCTGTGACAGCTCCTCTCACAGCAGTGTGTTAGGGTTAGAAGAGTGGCAGCTTTGGATTGAGGACCATAATCTTGACATGTGTATGATCGTTTTACTTGAATCCGTGTCCTTATTATCTTTTTGGCTTCGTTTAATTAAGTCCAGGCCATTGTCTGAGGTGTCGGGTGTGTTTCTAGCGTTGTGTTTCTGAACACTTGTTAGGACTTCTGATGACTGTTTGTGTTGGAAAAGCATGTGTGTATTTTCAAAATATTTTTTCTTCTTATATGCAGCTATTTGATAAAATCGGTTGTTGGCAGTATTTTCGCTCATGAGGAGTTAGATGGGACTTTAAATTCTGATACATGAGAAAACTAGACTGTTTAACCTCCTTAGTGGTAATCTTCGATGTTGAAAAACATACTGTGGTCAAATAATCATGGTACCATGTACGGATGTGTCAAATGTTTTGGTAGAATTCACTAAATTATAATTAGAGTTGCTGAAAACCACTTTTTTCTGGTCTTTGTTTCTTGCAATAATCCCCTCTGGTGCTGTTTTGCAATGGAAAACTGTTCAGTACTGGAGATTCCAGAAGCACGTGGCTAACTAACGGCATTGCTCAATAAAGGGGCCCGCAGAAGTGCTGCCAGTTCCTTCCTGGTGGTGAATGGCGTTCCAGGCAGTGGAGCAGTTATTTTTCTCTTCCTTGGAAGTGCTAATAGTAGTATTACCTTTCACATATGAGATTTCTAAATGCTGAGAATCTCTCTGCGTCTCTATCAGTGTTATGACTGCACTGGAAGTTAACATTTTAAAGAAAATATTTGCAGGAAAAAAAAAAAACAACTATTGGTTTTTGACATTGTAAGTTCTGCCTTTAACGAGCTTTTCCCAGCTTTTTAAGACAAACTAGGACAACTACTTTTATAACTTCTTGGCAGATGTTCAGAAAGGGCATGTGGTGTGGAAGAAAAGTGTCTGCATGACCTCAGGTTCATGTTCAAGTAGCTACCAATGGGGGTCTTTCACCCTCTCAGTTCTCCGAGTTGATGCCCAAGCCTCGCCAGACTCTGAGATGTTGATTGGCATTAGTGATTTTCCAGGATCATGCTGGGCAATGTAAATAGTTTTACCTTGTACAAGGATAATCTGTGATTAGGATCTATAATTATGATTTGTATTTAACTCTTCGGGGTCTGTACTGATTAAAAGGACAGTCTGTTTCCAGTGTCTGAAACAGTTCCGACACCACACCTCTCCTCCCCCCAAGTGTTTTCGTTTCATTAAAATTACTAAAAATACATGTCAAAAGCTGTCAGTACCGTTTGAATTGTGTCAGTAAAGTCTTTGAAACACGTATCTAAAATAGTTTTCCCCCCAGTATTCCTACAATTTCGGGGTACTTTCTCTTTCTTTTTTCTTTTTGAAAAGCCCCCTGCAGAATCTTGAGGGACATTGCTGTAGTGCGATAGAATGTACCCAGCAGCCCTGTGAGCGAATGTGTTTCTGCGTTTTCGCGCCTCCTCCGTGTGGTGGCGCCTGTTCATAGGGATGGGACCAGGGGCTCAGCAGCAGCAGCAGCAGCAAGACTAGCCCCTGTGTTGCTGGTGTGTGGGTCAGCTGTTCTGCACATAGGTACTGCATTGCTCTCTATGCTAGTCTCTATCAGTACAACTTCTTAAGAACATTTAATAAGAATGTGTTGCACGCAAATTATTTGT